TTGACTTGCTGTCAACTCCGGGCCTGCACTAAAGGTACCGCTGATGGTCTATACAGGAAGTTCAAATTTCAGCTGATTATAAAGCAGGAAATGAAAAACACAGGATATCACACATACACAGAATCACCATCGGAAAATTCAGATCCTTATCTGCTCCCAAGAGACAAAAGTGGCCTGTGGGACAGGAAGGGACCACTGGCCTTCCACAAAGTTCTGTGACCAACAGTTGTACTCACTTGACAACTACATGACAATGGCTATGGAAGCACGAAGTGTGCCGTCAAGCCCTCTCTACCCAGGCACCCATTTGAGCCTCTTACAATCATTATTCCACACTCAGAGTCCTGATATCTTGCCAAGAATTAGCTATCGAAAAGAAAGAGCCTCTATGAAGTGGAAGGTAAGCATCACAGGGCAGAGATTTTTATCTTGTTTTGTCCATGTATCCCCAGTTCCTACAACAGCTTCTGCTTGTATAAGTCGCCAAATGAAACAGAACATGAATCCTGGGGCACTTTTCTGACCTACCCTACTTTGCTCTCCTGCAGCGTTGGACACAGCTGACATTCCATGAATCCCTTCCTGTCCCACTCGCTAAAAGCAAAGATTCCACATTTCCCTTCAGGGCTCTACGTCCCCCACTTGAACCTTCCACTGTGCTCGCTCCTCTCTTACTCTGTTCCAGCCACACTGGTCTCCTCGCTAGTTGTCACCAACCAGGCATGCCCAATCAAATATTATATATTTGATTGACTAATTTTCTTTATTGTTATGTCTTTCTCAACTAGGAAATAAGTTCTATAACGGCAGGGCTTTTTGTTTGGTATTGGACAGGGAAGACTGCTTCCTCCCCATCCCTGATTCGCCACTCCCATTTCATCCCTAATACTCTATATCTCTGGCTCTTCCTCCTCTGCGTATTCCCAGGGCTCTACCCTTCACACTCTTCTCTAGAGCCTCTACGTATTCCTCTTGCATAAACTCACAATAGGAAATGTCAATGTTTACCTAAACACTGACAACCCCCAAATCTATTTCTCTGGGCCAGACCTTTTCCCTAACTCTACACCCTCATAATCAGCTACCTACTAAATAAAACCCTACCACTGAGTTCCTTCCATCAGTCCCTTCCTTTCCACTCCTATTCCCACTGGCCCATCTACCTCTCATCACCCAAATCTCCTGACTAGATAATTATGCTGTGAGGCAGGAGAGTGTAATGGTTAAGAGAACATGACTGGTACTAGAAAGACCAAGATTCGATTTCCCAGCTCCCCCTCTTCCTCAGGAGGACTAGCTGTTGAGTCAGGGAGAACAAATTATTTTATTTGATCTCTGCGAGTTTCCGTTTTCTCACTTGTGAGTGAGTCAGAATGGTACTTTACTAGTTTGTGGAGGAAAGCATTAGGTGCTTCTCAAAGTCTATTGGCTCATATTTCAAAGACAATTAAAATAATATCACTTTCTCCTTATTCCTCATCCGTTCTTAGTTTTGCACCTCCTTCACTCTTTGTAACAGGTAACATGTATTTGTGTACATACCTGTATGATCTCACATTCTAATGACAAAAGGGGGTAACAAGCTAAGACGAACTGGGAACTATTTTTGGAATAACTCAATTTGAGCTCTAGTGGGGTCAGATTTTCATGGGACATTCTATTCTTTAACAAACTCGAGGAAGCAGTCTTTCATACAGAACTTAGGTAAACATTCTTCCATTTCATTCTGTAAACTTCCATTCACAAACAGCACAAAATTCGACATCAATACATGATGTCAGCCAAAGCACTGGAGCCTGGCAGAGAGAAGAGAAAGCCTGCATAAAGATCTGTCTCTGCATACTTCCCGCTGTTTCTTGGCAAGACTACTTGTTATGACAAAATTAGAGCTCAAAGTGATAGGGGATAACTACGCTGTTCACAATGACAGCTCGGAGATGCTCTTCCAGAAATTCAAAGTCGACTTAACCTTTTTATTGATGTTATACAGTTAATTAACCAAATGTGACCAAAACAGGATGATATATCTATTCTTGAATTTTAGACCTATAAAGCCACTTTATTAGTATTCAGTAACATATTTTATCTGATAAAACTCTAGGCAAAAAAATATATACAAAAAAACAATACATGTATATTATTTACTTATGTCAAGAAGAGGTTTGAGGAAGATAAAGCTCTTAGAGTTATTTAGATTTATGAATTAATATTAATATACTTTTACGATTAGATTAAAACTACAGAGGCAATGGAAAAACCATTACATAGTCTTTGGAGTTAGACAAACCTTGGTTTAAACCTTGATTCAAACCCTCAAGAGCTAACTGGACAGATTACTTACACTTGCTAAGTCTATTTCCTTATCTGCAAAGGTACCCAACGGACAGGGTTATTTAAGAGATTACTGATAATTTTGTATAAACTAATACATTTGAATGTAAAATTGTGAAATAATACTGTATAGTTTGCTATACTGACATATAGTTACTACTTTTCAAATACGGTTGACTCTTGAAAATGGGTTTGAACTACGTGGGTCCACTTATAGGATGTTTTTCAACAAACACCTGTACTGTTTTCAACCTATAGTTGGAAGTCTGCGGATGCAGAGAGCTGACAGTATGCATTGATCTACGCCATTTTATAGCAGACCTGTGTGAGTATCCATGGATTTTGGTATCTGTGGGGGGTTCTGGAACCAATCCCCGCTGGATACCAAGGATAGTTAAGTTCTGGGGGAGTCAAAGGTATACACAGATTTTCAACTGCACAGGGGTCAGCGCCCCAAACTCGCAAGTTGTTCAAGGGTCAACTGTACAGCTATCTGAACAACACAGAACAAATCAAGAATTACACAGTTCTACTCCACAGTCAATTCTTGATCATAGTGGCTAAACCACATAGCATTCAGAACAGCTAAATAAACTTAAAGTAATTCATTTTTAGTCTGTAATACTTACAATTATTTTTGCAGCAAATTAACTATGTCCAAGTGAAGGCTATGCATAATAGAAACAAAAAGTTGGCTATGTTCAAATCAATCTTTTAAGTTATGATTTAAGAAAATATAGCCCACACAACAATGATGAGAATACATTATGAGGTCCACGTCAATTGCGCTCACTGTTGTGTACCCAGTGTCTGTACAGTGCCTAGCACGTAACAGGTACATTGCAAATATTTGTTTAACTGCAGTCAACAGGCGCTGAAGATTATTCCGGGGTAGTAGTGCTCCAATGCTAGAAAAATAATTTGAAGCAATAAAGGAGCACACTAGAGAAGTATTTTGAATAGAAAACTAGTCAGAAATCTTTTAGTCTTTAAAAGGTTATAAAAGGACCTTAACTAAACCACCAGCACGGACCCACCATAAAAAGGTAAGACTAACTCAGAAAAGTAATTGAAGAGAGACCATCAACTGGTATTTAAAGAGGAACACTAGACCAAGTGAAAGTCACTAGCAATAACCTTAAGGAAGTCAGAGAAGCTACAACTATACAAATAAAAACAAAGATAAACATGCACCGTAAAATTAAAGCGGAAAGGCTTAAAATAAGGCAAGGGATCCTAAACATTTTCCAACATTCTGTTCACTCTTACCATCCTCCTAGGAATAAGGCTTGTTCTAATCTAATTGATTAAACTCAGTTCACTTTTACTGTTTTGCTGTTGTGTGCTATGTGCACTGCAGCGTTATGGAAGATGCAAAGATCAGGTTCCACCTGGTACAGAAGGAAGTCGTGTGCACACGGCTACTAAAAACACACATATGGAACCTTGCAACCAGGATAAGAATCTGATTCGATGCCTACTTTACGCCACCTCTACATCCTCTACTAGTTTATTTACTTAATCACCCTTCTGTTTTCAAATTTTAGGCTCCAGCAACTTGAATTTTAGTTTCTTTACCTTTCTTCCTTTTAAAAAAAGTTTTTTAAATATTAAAAACAAGCTCTAGTAAAATTTCACGTACACCTTAAAAAGGGTTGTGAAACATTTTAATGACATAGCTCTCAAACTCTCCGTAGAACAAATGAAATGACCCATGTCTGCTATTTTCCTAAATGAACAGTGTCTCTAGGATGAGCAGCAATTAACTGACAGTTTCAGCAAAACAGAGTCAAGATGCACACTGGGTCCTCTTCCCAGCGATCTTAAAATCATGTTATTCAATTCTTCTGGTCTCTGTGTTTTCTCCGTTCCAAAGTTGAAGTCTAAGTGAAATGTTGTTGGTAATTTGGTAATATTTTGATGTTGACTCCTTCAGTTTTAACATTTGCAAAAGAACCATAATACCTGTTTGTTCTCGGAACAAATGCCTTCCACACAGAAAAATGAAGCATGGAGTTTAATAAGCTCAATTGAAGAACAGTTCAAAAATCTGGGATAACAGTTTTCCTTTCTCGGTAACTCCTCTGTTGACTCTGAAGACAATAAAGTTTGACCACAGAGACGAAAACACCAAATTTAAACGACTGGAGACCGAGACGAGAAAGTGAGGTGGAGCCTAGTGCTCATCTCTCCTCCAAAACTTGAATCAAGACGGTGTGACACGGGACAATTAAACGCGAAGAACAAGAAGAAGCTTATGCAACATCATAATGTCAACTCGAGGACCCACCGGTTTTCTGGTCCGGGGTGGCGAAAGGCTGAAAGGCCCCGCAGCTAAAGCAGCCCCCATTTTGCCCAAGAACGTGCACTGCTGAGAGGGCGGCGACCAATTTCAGGAAACTTAACTCCAAGCAGCCCAAATCATCTGCACCCCAACGCCTTGGACTGAAAGCGAGATCCTACTCCAGGGTACGGGGGCCTCCACAGCCTGTTTGGCCTAAACCGCTCCTGCCCTCCCAGATCAGGCCCGGCCAGGCCCCTCAAGCCCGGGGCCAGGCCCCCTCCCGAACGGTCCTCGGCCCCGTCGGGCCAAACGATCCTCCGTCGTCCGCCGCCTCCGCCCCGTCAGCCCCGGGCCGGCGGCGAACGGCTCTCCCGCGCCCCACTACCTTGGTCGTACGGATGTGCTCCATCGCGAGGAGACGTCAGCCGGCAGCCCGCCTCACAGGCGGACCATCAGGCGACAGGACCCGGGCGGCGACGGCGACCCAGACCCAGCAGGAACTAGCTCAGCGGGCCAGCGCCGCGGTCCGTCCGTCCGCCCCCGGCAGCGTCCACCGCGCAGGCGCAGCCAGCCTGCGCCGTCTCCTAGAAACACTTCCCCAAACTAGGCGGTGGCCGAGGGGGCGTGGGAGGGCGGGGCGGAGCTTCGGCCCAAGGAGAGCGGCGTCTGCTTCCTCCGGGGCCGCTGTGGATTCTACAGCGCCCCCTGTCCGTGGAGGCCTCACCAACCCTGACAGAGGGCCGTCCTCTATGGCTCAGCGGGCCGAGGACCAGGAAAGCAGGGGTCTGGGCTTGCGCAAAGAGAATTTAGTGGATGAGGGCGAGACAGGATGTCGCTATGTCCATCGGCCCACAAGAATCTATTCTCAGGAAATGATCGGATATGTCGTGTAAGCCTTATTTGAAACAATCAAAATCTCCCATACTATAAGATTAGTTATGTGCGTAATAGCAGTGATGACCTAAATATAAAAGGCCAAAGTGCAAGGAAACAAGCATTTATTCGAGGTCAAAAAAGAATAGCTATTCGGGAAGCACTTTTTTTCAGGCAGAAACCCAAATAGTGTTCAAATTAGGAGACGAAGGCAAGGAGTATTTATGAACATGGGAAGGGAAACAATTATATTAATAGAAAGAAGGCATTTCTATTGGTGCTGATAAGCTATCATAGTGATACTTATTCTAAACAATGTTTTTAATTTTCATTCTAATTGTCATCAGTCCAGTAGTCATAACATCTGCTTTCTTGTTATCTTCCCACACGATACAATGTCGTTCTGGATACAAAGTCGTTTTAGGCCCAGTCCAAAGGTTATGGTTCCTTGTTTTAATAATCCAAAGATTTGTTAAGGCATAAAACATGCAAGGCAGTTCCTCTGGAATGGCAGCTCCGACTCCATTTTAAAGTGGCTCTGTTTATTACATTGTTACACCAGCATCCATTTAAAAAATGCTGCAGCTCCTCACAAGTCAAACCTGAACAAACTGAAAAATCAACAACTTTTCTTAGATCTATAAAGGAATTGAGATCACAGGGCAAACCACTGCTCCCAAAATCAGAGAGAGGGACGGGCGACTACACAGAATCACAGCTATCAGAGCAGAAACCCACAAGCAGAAACCTCCCTGGGAATCAGTGCCCAGCAGTTCCGTTTGCCCAGTACATCATATCTGACTATCCAGGAAAAAATTACAAGACATACTAAAAGGTAAAAAGCACAGTTTGAATACACAGAGCAAGCATCAAACCCGGACTTAGATATGGCAGGAATTTTGGAATTATCAGAGAATTTAAAACAATTATGACTTATATGCCAAAGATTCTAATGGGTAGATAGTATGCAAGAGCAGATGGACAATGTAAGCAGAAAGATGGAAATCCTAAGAAAGAACCGAAAAGAAATGCCAGAGATTAAAAAACAAAAAACACTGCTACTGAAATGCACAATGCCTTTGATGGGTTTATTAGTAGACTGGACATGGCTGAGGAAATAATCTCTGAGCTTCATGGTACCTCAATAGAAACCTCCAAAACTGAAAAGTAGAGAAAAAAAAAGTTGGAAAAAAAAAAGGAACAGAATATCCAAGAACTGTAGAATAGCTATAGAAGGTGTAACATGCCTGTAATGAGAATATCTGAAGGAGAAGAAAGAGGAACAGAAACAAAGATTTGGAGCAATAATAACTGAAAAATTTCCCCAAATTAATGTTATTTACCAAATCACAGATCCAGGAAGCTGACAAAACACCAAGCAGGATAAATGCTAGAAAAACTACATATCATTCTTAAACTATAGAAAAGCGAAGATAAAGAAAATAAAGAAGAAGCCGGGGGATTATTTATAGGTAAATATCTTACCTATAGAAAAGTAAAGATACAAATTATGTCTGACTTCTCTTCAGAAACCATGCCGGCAAGAAGAGAGTGGAGTGCAGTATTTAAAGTGTTGATAGAAAAAAAATTCCACCAACCTGTAATTCTGTACCCTGTGAATTATCCTTCAAAAGTGAAGGAGGAATATAGGCTTTCTCAGACAAAAATGGAGGGGATTGTTGCCAGTAGACCTGCCTTGGAAGAAACATTAAAACAAGTTCTTTAGAAAGAAAGAAAATGATATAGGTCAGAAACATGGATCCACATAAAGAAAGGAAAAACATCAGAGGAGGAATAAGTGAAAGAAAAATAAAAAATTATTTTTCTCATTTTTAATTGATCTAATAGATAACAGTTCGTTCAAAATAATAATAACAACAATGCGTTTGATTATTTTTGTTTGTGGTATGTATAATATGTTTATGTATAAGTGAAATAAATGACGGCAATGATACGAGGGATGGGAGAAAGGAATTAGGATTTTGTTATTATAAAGTATGCACACTACCAAAAAAATTGTACTGAGGAGTATTACATAACAAACATATTCATACTGTATTATTGAGTGAAATATAAACTGACTCTAGAAAGGTGAGTTCAATGTGACTGTATTTTGTAATTTTTATTTATGCTAACAGACATCTTACATTTCTAGATGGTAGGATTATAGGTGACTTTGTAAATCCTGTTTTAGTGGTTTCTCAGACTGGAGTGATTTTGCCCTCAGGGGACAGTTGGCAATCTCTAGAGACATATTTGGTTGTCATAACTGGGTGTGGGTGTGGGGTGCTACTGGCAGAGAGTGGGTAGAGGCTTGGTCAGCTGCTGGACATCCTGCAATGCTCTAGACACCACCGCCTCCACTGAGAATTATCTGGCCCAAGAGGTCAATGGTTCAGAGGTGGAGAAACCCTGCTCCAGGTTTTCCAAGTGTTCTGTACTAAGCAGTTTCACTCTTTGTAACTAGAAAATGCTATTTTAAAAATATCATCATTTTTACATCATCTTTCTTACCATGTTTGGTGTTAGAAAAACCTCCCTAACATCTAAGTTTCTTTTCTAATGAAAAATTTTGTTTCATTTTCCAGCATTCCGTTCATTTTTCTTATTTAAGTTGTCTTGGTGTTGCTTTGTGTTTGTTTTGAGTGCCTGCTATGTTTCAGACAGATTGCCAAAGCAATGGCGATGCTTACTAAACACAACAGCCTTTGTGGTGAAATCACCTACTCCTGTAAGATGAACATGTAATAAGAATAAAATTAGGCACCTGGAAACCAGTCTGGTTAGATTTTCATATCCAAAAGAAACACAAATCTTGCCCTCTCCCAAAGAAATATTTAAAACTGTTGCAGGTCTTTATGGAAGACCTTTTGAGAAAGCAGAAGAGGATGAATGATATTGTATAACATACGTCAAGACTTCCTTAATAAAACCTCTTTTTATATTATTCTCCTCCAGATTTTTATCATTTTTCCCATTCCTTGTTCCCATACAAATTATCCTTACATCCCAGGTTATCCTCCCCATTCTCTTCTCTTGTCATTTCTCATTTTTTCTCTCTTACCAATTCTTTTCAAGAGGTAATAATGATGTTAGCCAACACCTATTATGCAATTATCAGGTGGCCAAAAGTGTAAATTGCTTTACCCATATTATGAGGAAAGTGAAACACAATGAAGTTAAATAACTTGCCTGACATTATACAACAAATAAAGCCTAGATCATGATACAGAGCCAGACAATCTAATGACAGTCTGTATTAACTATTCTATATTGACTTGTTTTTCAAAATCCATGTAAAAGTTCCAGTTTGAAGTGGTAATATGATAAATTAGGAAATAATTCCGCATTAAAAAAAACTAAAATAGAGGGTTAAATAAAAAATCAGTTTTAAAAAGGATCCAGTAACTGACAAGATAGTAAGGGCTTACAAGTGCAAAATACAAGGGAAATTGTTTACACAGAGATGTGAGCAGAATATTGAAATTGATGCAAAAGGACCATTTCCAAACCAGGTGAATTTAGGACAGAAAGTTCAGAAGTCAAAGCAGATGGTCCACCTCAATGATGCATGCAATAGGAGAATCTACTTACATAAATCCAGGGCCAGAAGGAAACTCATCCAATCCAACCCCAGAATACTGCGGGAAATTTACCCTGACATTGAGAAAATAGAGGAGTGAAGGCAATAACTGCCTGTCTTGGAAATATTAAACAATCACAAAAGGTTATAAAATGGATTTACAGCCTAGATTCGTACCACCTAGTGATTACCGCAAGAATCAAAGAGCCTCATTCCTCTGTCACCACGAGGGGTGGATTCACTTAAGGGAAATAGACACTAGGAAGAAGAGGGTTGTTTACTGAGATTTGTTTTTATTCCTACTGTTTATAAAGCGTATGGTCCAGTTTAAGAAGACTTCAACATGCACCAGCGTTCCTAAACCTTATCCTCCCCCGAAAATGCTGAAACCAGTAAAATACATCAGATTAAGTATTTTCTGCTGTCCTGATCTCATCGTTCATTCAAAGAGGGCACTTAATACAGTTACGGTTTAAATGGAAAAGTCCATGGAGACTTAAAAGCTAACTTGATGGAAGACCAGCCAGCTTATAAGACCTATTTCTCAACATTAGTTAGACCAGTGAATTTCAAAATACCAACTTAATCATTGACCATGAGAAACAGAAGTTTAAAGCAGACTGGCATGAAGGTCAGCATATTCTTTTCAGGTAAAGCTATGAGGACACTTTACACTTGAGAAGTTTGCTTAGTAAAAAATTCAGAACAAGGGAAAGCAAAATGATAGGCTGCTGTCATTCTGGCAAAATTCTGATGCATTCATAAACCCTAAGGAAACGTGTATTGGTCTAGTGGCCAGAATATGGGCATCCATCAGGTAGAGTCACTTGTTTCCTTGAAAGATGAAAAGAATAAATGCAATTGTTTTTTCTCTTTGGCTCCCATGTTTTGGAGTCTAGAACCTGCCCTTTGCCCTTCTGTTAGCATATATCAAAACGATTAGATAACAGGTTGTTGTTGCTTTTATAGCTATATTCCAGCCCTAGAGATATTTTGGAACTTGGTTCATCTCAGATATTCCCTATGTTCCTTTGGTAACAGATGTAAAGTATATCTTTTAGAATGGATTCCTATTAAATATGGTATACTAAGTTTAGCTATGAATAATAGAAACTCAACTATAATGGCCTA